CCAGGTGATGTATAAATCTCAATTTCGAAAAATTGACACTTAAGACTTGTTTTGTGGTCCAGGGTCACACACACACACGCATATACATACATATACATATATCCGTTTCCTATCAGGAGGAATATTTCATTTGGACACTCGCTCACACACATCGCAAAGTATTGTTTAACATTGTGGACATTACCTAGGGTTTTCCATTGTTACCTTGTTTCTTTACCTAGTCTTGCCTTGCCTGTGATTTGACCCTGGACTGTATTCTTGTACTTTGTGAACGTTGCCTTGACCATTGCCTGTTTTGTGGATTACTCTCGTTTTGCCTTGGATGTTACTGTTTTCTGGTTTTTGACCCTGCCTGTTTCGACTACGGTCTTAAATAAAGTTGCAGATGGATCCTCAACTCCATTGTCACGTTCGTCACCTAACAGAATACTTCGCCCCCAAGGATCCAGCAGTTGAGCTAGTTCATCTGCGCCAAGGTAATCACACCCTCGAAAAGCACATCCAGACTTTCTTGGACAACTAATGCTTCTGACCTGCCAGATGCACTCATTGACTTTTTCCGTTATGGACTTAATACCCCACTAAAGGACAAATTAATCTGTGGTGCTCCTCGAGGGTCATTCTGTGAGTTATTGGACTATGCGCTTTTGATGAGTGGGTCCTCCTTCACTATCAGGGCTGTTGAGGAGGACGCTTCCCCTAAACTTTTTTTTGGGGGGGGGGCACCACAGAGCTTGGCTCACCAAAGTCACCACCCTGTCCAGTTATTATGGTCGGCACTCCGGTGATTTCAGCACTCCCAAGTCCAGAGCCATTTCACAACATGGCCGCCACATGGAGTCTTGTCCTGCGTCAGGGTCGCCGTTCCAGAGCTTCGTCACAAGATGGCTGCCACACCAGAGCCTCTCCACATAATGGCCGCCGTTCCAGAGTCTCGTCCCTTCATGGCTGCCGTTTCAGAGCATCGTCATAAGATGGCTGCCACACCAGAGCCTCTCCACGTAATGGCTGCCGTTCCAGAGTCTTTTCACAAGATGGCTGCCAGTTCAGAGCCTCTTCCCAAGATGGCCACCAGCTCAGAACCTCTTCACAAGATGGCCACCAACCCAGAGCCACGTTACAAGATGGTCATTACGCCAGAGCCTCCAGCCGTTATGGATATCAAGCCTCAGTCTTCAGCCATCACGGATGCCCCTCCAGTATTCCCGAGCATCGTGGATGTTGTGTTTGATGACACTAAGGCATTCCAGGGGTGTTTGAGGCTGGCGTCCAGTCTGGCGGATCCACTGTTGATGTCAGTGCGTGCAGCGGGCATTCCAAGAGCTTCAGCACTGGACGTCACTGAGACTGTTCCCCTATCCTCAGTTCTCCCTGTAATGGCGGTCGCCATTCTGTGTGTTTGGGCTACACATTGCTCTGTACCTGCTCCAGTCCGTGAATCTGTTCCAGAGCCTGCTCCAGAGCCTACTCCAGTCCTTGAATCCGCTCCAGAGTCTGCTCCAGTCCATGGGTCTGCTCCAGAGCCCGCTCCAGTCCATGAGTCTGCTCCAGAGCCCGTTCCAGCTCCCGAGGTGGCAGCTCCCATTGCAGAACCTCCCAAGTCGTCTGAGTCCGCTTCAGCTCCTCCCGAGGTGGCAACTCCCGCTGCAGAACCTCCCGAATCAGCGGCGTCCGCTCCAGCTCCTCCAGAGGTGGCAGCTTCCACTGCAGAACCACCCAAGTCGTCAGCGTCTGCTCCAGCTCCTCCTGAGGTGGCAGCTTCTGCTGCAGAACCTCCCGAATCGGCGACAAGTGTGTTTGGGCTACACATTGCTCTGTACCTGCTCCAGTCCGTGAATCTGTTCCAGAGCCTGCTCCAGAGCCTACTCCAGTCCTTGAATCCGCTCCAGAGTCTGCTCCAGTCCATGGGTCTGCTCCAGAGCCCGCTCCAGTCCATGAGTCTGCTCCAGAGCCCGTTCCAGCTCCCGAGGTGGCAGCTCCCATTGCAGAACCTCCCAAGTCGTCTGAGTCCGCTTCAGCTCCTCCCGAGGTGGCAACTCCCGCTGCAGAACCTCCCGAATCAGCGGCGTCCGCTCCAGCTCCTCCAGAGGTGGCAGCTTCCACTGCAGAACCACCCAAGTCGTCAGCGTCTGCTCCAGCTCCTCCCGAGGTGGCAGCTTCTGCTGCAGAACCTCCCGAATCGGCGACATCTGCTCCAGCTCCTCCCAAGGTGGCAGCTTTTGCTGCAGAACCTCTCGAATCGGCGGCATCTGCTCCAGCTCCTCCCGAGGTGGCAGCTTCCGCTGCAGAACCTCCCGAATCGGCGACATCTGCTCCAGCTCCTCCCGAGGTGGCAGCTTCCGCTGCAGAACATCCCGAATCAGCGGCGTCTGCCTCTGAACTCTCTGTCTGTCCTGTTACGGTCAAGGAAACTGTCTGTGAACTCTCTGACAGTCCTGTCACAGCCAAGGAGGACTCCTGTCAACACTCTGATAGTCCTGTCATGGCCATGGAGGCCGTCTCTGAGCTCCTCGCCTGTCCTGCCACGGTCAGTGAGACCACTCCTGAACTCTCTGACTGTCCTGTCACGGCTATGAAGTCCATTTGTGAACTCTCTGCCCGACTTGTTACGGCCGCAGAGGCCGCTGTTAACATCTCTGTGCTCTCTGTTTCAGTTCTGCTTGATCCACCTTGGTCTCCTGCGCCATCAGCTCCACCCTGGTGGTCGTCTGCTCCACCGAGGGGATCCTCGGACCCATCTGTTCTTCTGTGGTGGTCGTCTGCTCCACCATGGGGATCTTCGGTCCCATCGGCTCTGCTGTGGTGGTCTTCAGCTCCGCCCTGGCTTCCTGCTCTACCGGCTCTGTCCTGGCTTCCTGCTCCGCCCTGGCTCCCTGCTCCATCCTGGCTTTCTGCTCCGCCGGCTTCATCCTGGTGGTCTCCTGTTCCACTGCTCCACAGTCTGCCACTGCTCCATGATCCAGGTCCTCCACTGCTCCGCGGTCTGCCACTACTCCATGGTCCAGGCCCTCCACTGCTCCACAGTCTGCAACTGCTCCATGGTCCAGGTCCTCTACTGCTCCACAGTCTGCCACAACTCCACTGACCTGGCCCTCCATCCCTCCCCCTGTTCAGCCTCTGCTCTACCTCCCTCCTGGACTTAAGTCTGTTTTTGTTTAAGAGTGTCTGGACTACCGGCTCTGTCCTGGCTTCCTGCTCCGCCCTGGCTCCCTGCTCCATCCTGGCTTTCTGCTCCGCCGGCTTCATCCTGGTGGTCTCCTGTTCCACTGCTCCACAGTCTGCCACTGCTCCATGATCCAGGTCCTCCACTGCTCCACGGTCTGCCACTACTCCATGGTCCAGGCCCTCCACTGCTCCACAGTCTGCAACTGCTCCATGGTCCAGGTCCTCTACTGCTCCACAGTCTGCCACAACT